TTTTTCTCTGTATCTAAATGTTGGTTGGCGTCCAGCTTTCACGAGAAGCGAATTGCCGTCCCTGTCTCTATTTGTTTCTTTGTATTCTTACGCATCACTGTCACATCAGCACAATTAGGTGACGTCCTTAACAAGCTTTAGCCTCGCAATCCGGTATATTTAAGACTGTTGTAACCGGTATCGTTTCGGTTAGAATCGATCCCAGATTTGATAATGTCTTGTGAGGTGCTCTGGGCCCACTAAAATATTTGTAGTTACTAAGAAAGTTGCAGATTCTTCTCCTGACTTGAAACGAATCTTTATCTTTTGAGCCGCTCGCTCTTTACACTTCAATAATCCTTTAAAAGTCTCGAAAATCTTCAAGGAACATTGGGCTCTAATGTGGTCGTCAGGCACGGTTGGTATCACAATACCTTCCTTGCAATACCGCTTTTCCAGAAATCTGTCGGCGCTGCGGTGCAGTATTTGCCGAAAACGCTGCGGCGCCGCAAACTGAACCCCCTGGCAAAATAATGGCAACATATTTGCTCTCCTGCCGTTGCTGGGGTTAAATTGCTGCCTTCAGAATTCCTCGATATTCTCATCGCTCTCGCTATCGTGAGACCGGAAACCTCCTTTTGATTGTCCAATTCACTTACGTCGAAGACAGAGAGTTATCACTGACCCAACATTACGCTGCCCTTCTGACGACTGGAGTCCAGGTCAGTGCAGGTGGAGACCACCCGCCTACACACGCCTCTGTTCATACGCAGAATCAAGTCCAGGTGCCCACCGGTCAGCCAGCGGGAACTCAGCTCGTGGCAGTGCGTGAGGCGCTCCTCCGTTCGGGAGATGCTCGGCTCGCGGGGCGGCGTGACCACGTCTCAATCAGGCACTGGACGGCTGTGTGGCGATAGCGGCTCCGAATGGTCCACGTGATTTGTGGCCCGTTGTCAGTGGGGGCCGGCCTGGTACGCTCGGACTCTGGGGGGACACACCGGCCCGCGGGGACCTCGCCTGGGACCCGGACGGGTCGACCTGGCGGTACTGAGGCGTGAGCTGGTGGCGGTGACCTTGGATCAGGTTGGGTTAGCGGCGACGCTGCTGACCCAACCGGACATGCCTGTCGCTTTAGAGCCGCGACAGGCATTGGCGTTCATTGCCTTGTATTAAAAACATCGGGGATTTTTATGGAAGAACTGAAAACCCCTTCTAGAACCCGAAATGGCTTTTGTACTCCGGGAAAAATGGGCACAATGCAACCATTGTGACGGAGGTGCCACGATACGGGGGTGTCCGAAACGATCCAGAATTTGTCTTGTTCTAGAAGTCCTTGTTCCCCGAAACTCGCAACATACGTTTCAAATGTTGGGGGCTGTTGGTGCCGATTAAATTCCAGATTTTAGGAATTTCCAAAAATTTAGTAGTTCAGCTCGGGAATTGGATGGACTGGGGCAAGCATCTTTGATCTTTTTGGACAGCCGATATAATTCTGTCGTGTTCCAAAACGGTACACATCTCAAATGATTCGATGCTGCTCGTTTTCACAAGAAGCTCATTCTGGAGCATAAAGAAACTGTTGAAAGAAGCAAGAATACACTAGAAAGTATTACATTTTGAAAGCCTGTGACACTCAATTCTTACCTATAGTTACGATTTGTTACCACCCACCATCCGACTTATCTGCCGTCGATGAGCTTAGTGATTATCAAGCTCAGCGAAGATCGAATATATATATATATATATATATATATATATATATATATATATATATATTTGAATTGTTAATTGTGGCTGCTTGGATGTTTTCATATTTACCTGTGGTACACCTTGTGATACACCTTTCTTACCCGCCACCATTTTCTTTTTTTCATTCGACTCGAGTGAGGGAACCCGGCGACGTGGGTGGTGACTGGGGTTATTGGTGTATGTGATAATTACTCGATTTAAAAAAGAAGACTTGCAATTTTTTAGGCAATCGGATTTTGGGGATAATTGCACTTCCAGTTGAGGCCCAAACGATGGCTGCAAAATGGTCGAAGACTGATATCGCGAATGGCTACCCAGACTTCTTGGGTAGGGTACTGCCCCCCCCCCCCCCCTCCTGCCCAATGATTGTTGCCACATCTTTAACGCCTCATCAAGACGACAAGAAAACTCCCTAACTTTTCAATACAAGAAGAACCTGGGTTGCTTTCGTTTTGTAAGTTCTGGTAAATCCGGTATTGGCCCCCAATGGCTTTCATGAGGTCTTCTTATGACCTATACTGCTGCGCAGAATCATTTGGCGCAGCTTCGATGACCCCTTCTGATATTGCATATGCATATCTCTTCTAACAAATGATACAGCTTACGGATTTCTATGCATCAGAAGGCATTGGAGAGTGGCTACGGTACTTGATATAAAGAAATGCACATGATCATGTTGTATCAAATGTTTACACACGCACTCACACGTATATATCTTTGTATACATATCTCTCTCTCTCTTTATATATATATATATATATATATATATATATATATACATCAGCTTCTTTAACTTGGTGTACTGCGAGTCAATGATAATTTCAATTTGACGCTAATTTCTTCAAAAATGAACCAAACAAAAATGAACTGCAGTCATTTTTATCACGCCAGGCCAGCGGTGAAGTTTTCTATTTAGCTGGAGGAGCTTCCCCCAGTTAAGGCTCCAACCCCAACCCCCCCTTCCCGCCCCTCTCCCCAACTTTGGGAAGACAGTGCGTGAAGTCTGGGGAGAAGCCTGACCGTTGGCGTATTCTGGGGCACGTTTGTTTATCTGTTGCTCTTCAGACCCCCTCGCTCATTTTGCGAAACTACGCCTCTGCACCACCTGTTAATCCCATTTCATTATTATGCCATCAGAGGCATTCAATGCTCGCGGGTGCGCCAAATGTCCCCGTCAGCTGATACAATCCAAAACGCTGATCACCAGAGTGGTATGCGTACCCCAAACCTGTAAGGTGAGGCACCGTTGTCCGTGTTGTGTTCTCGGTCATCGTGACCAGGTGGCCCTCTGGCGCCGGCACGTGTACAATCCCACGGAGACCACATCCATAGATGGGACAAGACCCGGACAACGCATAGTACAGACAGAATAACCGCCTGTTCTTCCGCTCAGTCGTCAGCGAGGGCAAACGCGCCACGTTTCCAACTGAGGCGATCGCGTACTCTCGATGGTGAAAGCGATCGCCTCGGCGGCTCTCGAGGTGTCGCAGCATCCTGGCTGGGTCGTGCTGCAGCGCGGGGCGTACATAACGGCCGGCCGCGCTGTGTCTGACAACTTATGAGCAATTAACGTGTCGACGAAATTGAAAGTAACCCTGGATTTGTATTGTGTGCATCCCTGCTGAATGCCACGTAAATCTGGGCAGAGGACAACGCCATCCAGGGCTCCGGAGTGGTAAATCGACGCGATTGAAGAGTCATTATGTAATGAGGAATAATAAAATCAAACTCCCCGAGAAGGCTCCGTACTGATGCGGAACACTCTGCTGCAAAGTCATGGGTCTGCAGGGATGTTCTTGTCTTTATCCGTGGCACTTCATAGCTCCCGTCGGTCATCCCAGGCTGTAGCAGTGTATCCTAGTGAGGGGCTGAACTTGAATCGCTCACCAGGAGGAACGTTCTCCGCAGGAGCTCAACAAAGTACATCGGAAGTTGTATGACCACAGCATCCGAACAATACGCCGTACACATGATAAGCTGGGTGTGTAGGAGACGGCATGAAATAAGGGTGGCTCAGAAGCTGCTTAATGTAACTCTGCGCCCGCAGTATGCTCACATCTGTCATCGAACGCCACTTTAAACCTCACTTGGCTGAATTACAACCGCAAACAAACACGCAGGTTTACTGATAGTGCAGCACACGCCACCGAGATAGTGCCGCTGTGCGAGGAGTGGTGCATGTTTGTTCAGCGCGTGATCACATCGCGAAGAGACCGCGTCCGTCACCGCGTCACCTCGCCACAGTCAGCTGTACGCTCCACGTTCTTCCGTTCTGCGTCGGCCCCAGCTCTCCGCCCAAGCTCCATCTATTCGGACCGCAGCCCGCCGGACCGCCGTGACCCTCCATCTCTCCTCCTCCTGCTCCTCCGCCGCGTTCTCCCTCTCTCCAGCGGCGTCGGTCGATGGCAGTCGGGACCGGCGCGGCGTCATCGGGCTGTCGGCTGCGACAGCCGCTGGAGTGGCGCGTCACCGGCGCCGCCGCGGCCGCTGCCGCCGCCGGCCGAGCTCACCGGCGAGGGACACGAGGCTGGGGCAGCCAGGCACGCCGAGTACGGAGAATCAGGAATCGCTGAACTCGCTAGGCTCCGATCAGCAGACCTGGGTGACAGGCTTGCTCGAAAGTCTCGGGTACAAAGGCGCCAGGCAATGGAGCCGGCGCAAAAATTCGCCATTGACCGCCTCTGCAGCCTTGAGGCGGCCTTTCGCTATGATCGAGCGGCCGCACAAGAGCTCCTTCACGTTGAAATGCCTTCGAAGCTGGTTATCTTATTGGAAACGCGTGACGCACGCAACCCTGGCGACGCATCCGAAAAACCGCCGCCACTCGAGACAAGGTTTTGAAATCGCACACCCGGCATTTTTGTGGAGCGGCTAGGCTCTGCCAGGTCCAGGATGCAGTTTTTTTCTGCCTCGGACAGTCCAATTTGAGTGATTTATGGGCGCCGGCCGTCGGCCGCGGCGGGGGAGCGGGATGCGTACGCTAACCATCGAGCCGCCCGTCAGCTATGGACAGCACGGCCCGTTCCAATTACTCGCCGCCGCGCCGGCCGCGCGCCGCGTCGAATCAAGCTCTTCTTTTATTTCGAATTCCCGATATGTGCGACGGCGGCGGCGGCGGCGGCGGCGGCGGCGGCCGGCGAGTGTCCATGTTAGCGGGGGGCGGGGCGAGCGGCGCTGGCTCCGCCCCCGGCCGGCTGCGCGCCAGCTGACGGCGCGGCGGCGCGGCGGCGGGCGGCCGCGGGCGCCCGGCCGACAGGCTATCCATTCCGGGTCGGCGGCCAGTCTGATTGACAGTGCGCGCGCGGCGCCGGCGGTGTGTGTGTGTGAGAGCGGCGTGCGGCCGCCCAGACTGTGCTGCAGCGAGACGAGACGCGCGCGCGCGCCGCAATGATGCGGACCGCGGTGTGATCGGAGCGAGCGAGAGCGTGCGGGCCGCCCGGCCGACAGACTGACGACGCGACCATGGCCGGCACCCGCCCGGTGAGTGAGCCGCTCGCCGCCCGCCGCCCGCCGCTCGCCCGGCTGCCGCCGCCCGGCCGCTGTCGGCCGCGCCGGGTGCAGAGTCAGCGCGCCGCCGTCGCCGCCGTCAGCGCCGCCGCCGCCGCCGCCGCCGCCGCCGTCGTCGCTGACGCCGGCCGTCTGTCTCTGCCCACAGGAGGAGTACGGCCTCTCCCACTTCGGTGGCATGGACGGCATGGCCGGCGGCATGTACGACCCGCACGGCCAGCGGTCGCTGCACTCGCTCAGCATGAGCCACTCGCCGGCGCACATGACGCACGGCATGCACGCGTACCAGGCGGCCGCCAACCACGTGTCGCCGCCTTCGCACCACGTGATGGGCGCCGCCACAGCCGTGCCCGACGCTCAGAAGCGGGATAAGGACGCCATCTACGCGTGAGTAGCGGCCGGCGGAGGCCATGTGGCCGCCAGCTGGGGCTCCCCTCGTCGCGCGGCGCCCCTCCTCGCCGCGGCGCTGAGACGCCGTTCTCGCGGCTCTTCCGGCCCGGTCAGCGCGGGCGGCGCCGGCTCAAGGGCGGCGGTGTCGCCCGCCGGCGTGGGAGGACCTGGGGCGGCGGCGCTGGGCTGGGCGGGCCAGTGTAAGAGGACGGGTCGAGCTCCGGCACGGTCGGCCGCCGGGCGTGGCTCTGGCCAAGCCCGGCACGTTTCGGTCTCCCCAAGGGAAATCTCATTTGGCCTACCCAAGGCGCACCCAGTATATTTCAGGGTGGTTTCAGCTGGTCACCGGCCGGTCAGGGAATATTTCGGTTGTACCCCAGGCCATTCGGTTAGTTCCAGAAGCAGTGTCCGCTGCTCCCAGACCGGCATCCCTCCGTCCCAGTCCAGCGCCAGCCAATCCCGCAACGACGGCGTAGACCGAGGACAATCTCTGCCTGTCCCCGAACACGCCGAACCGCTCCCGTAATGCCCGACGCGCCCCCACCTCCGCGCCTCCTCTCCGGGGACGATTTCCCACGGCTCGGAGCCTCCCGGGGTAGCACATGCCGTGCTGGCACACACCCTGTCGCTCCCGGAGCTGCCGTGGCTGATCCCGGCACGATACGAGGCGGTGCCGGGAATCCCGGTCCTGGCCGGTCCCGTTCTGACAAGTTCTGGGACGCCCGGTGCCGTCTCCTTCGGTGCCTAAGCCGATCAGTCGGCTCCCGGCTGGTGTCCGTCAGCTCCAGCGCGCCGCCGACCGGTCTCCTGGACCGTGTCGGTCGGTGACAGGCCGGCGCGGTTCGGTGCCAGGCCGGTGTCAGTCGGTGTCAGACCGGTGTCAGCCGCTCTCGCGCGGTGTGAGTGGCTCTCCTGGCCCGGGTCTGTCCGTTCAGGCCGGCCTCGGATGACGCCCGGTGAGGCCCGGCGAGGCGCCGGCCGGGAACCCCGACCACGGCCGTGCCCGGGCGGCCCGGCCGTGTGCCGCCTGTCCCGCGCCTGACCGGCCGTAAATGCCGATAATCTGGCGACGCGAGCCCAGTTTGGGCAGCGGTGCCCAGCCGGGTCTGGCCGGGCCGCGCCGCACCCGCTGCTCCCCTCGGCAGGGGCGCTATTTTTAGTGGGCCCGCCGCCGCTCGGTCCTTGCCCCCTGCCTGGCGGCGGCGCCGGCGCCGGCGGGGCACCCGAAGTCAGCCCCCTCCTGCTGCTGGGCCGCATTTTTGGCGGATTTTCACGCGCCCCTCGCGTCCAGCCCTCGCGGTCCCTCGCGACCCCTCGCGGCCCGTGGTGGCCGTCACAACGGCTTTGACTAACCAGCCGGGCCACCCGGGCTAGGTACGGGCGCCCCGCGGCGGCGCGCCGCTGTTTGGACGGCGGTGACATGCGCCCTGCGCGACCGTCAGGTATGTCAGATAAAGCACGCACCCGCTGTAATTATCGGACCCACACTGTGTCCTCAAATTATGATAACAGCCACTCCAAAGTCATTTAATTACGTATGGCATCACGCAGCGTGCGCGCCGGCCACTTCAGCGCACCGAGATTGACAATGGTCCCGCGCCAGGAGAGGAATGCCGCGCGGTGAATTGCTCGGGCTCCCAGACGCCGTATTTCTGGCCGACCTGACTGGCAGATTGTGTTTCCCGAGTTTCACACACCGTCGGTTTTCCAGCTGTTTGGGCTGTGTATTTAGGACGGGCCGATCGTCCGCCCGTCAAGGTGCAGATATTCTGTGATTGATGGAACACACGCGCCGTAATCACTCCAGCTCAAAATATTGAGATATTACACGTTGCTAGCTGACATGGGAGCACGTCCAAGCAAGCAAGCCATCGTAATAAAATGCTGATGGCATGTGAAAACGGGCGGCGGCGCAGTAATACCGGCGTGAGGTACGTTGCGCCCAGCTCGTGCGGCGCGCCAGCCTGCCTGTCGCGCGTGACAGGTCGGCACCGGCCGAGCCGTGTTTGCCGTGTCTGACCCGGGCACTATGCTGCAGGCACCCGCTGTTCCCTCTGCTGGCGCTCATCTTCGAGAAGTGCGAGCTGGCCACATGCACGCCGCGGGACCCGGGCGTGGCCGGCGGCGACGTCTGCAGCTCCGAGTCCTTCAACGAAGACATCGGCGTCTTCAGCAAGCAGGTAGGCAGGCTGCCGAGCGGCCGGCCGGCGACCGGCGGCCGGCGCGCCGCTGCTCACTTGGCCCCATTGTGGCGCTATTGTGGCGGCCGGCGCCGCCGCCGGGCCGGCCCTTTGTGCGCCGAATTTCTGCGCCGTCCCCCGTCCCGCGGCCTCGGCCAGAAGGTCCCGGCACCGCGCTGAAAAGATGAAAAGCAGGCTGGCGCGCGGGGAGGGCAGATGCGCCGGCCGATAGCCGCCGCGCCGCGCCGCGTCGGCCGCGCCCGCGCCCTGTTTGCCGCGCCGCGGCCAGTGCGTAGTAAACAGTAATAATGAGGGAAACGCGAGCCGACCGGCAAGCGGCCGCGAACGCCGGCCCGCTCTCACAGTCGCGCAGCTCGCGCGCTCTCACGGGGAACGCGGCCCGGCGCCGGCCGGCCGCGCCCGCAATAGCCGGGCCCGGGCCGCGGCGCCCGGCCGGACCCGGAGCGGCGCCGCGACGGCCCCACCCGAGGCCCCCTCGCCTGGTGTAGCCCCGCGTTCGAGGGGACGGCCGCGCCACTAATGCTTAATTTATGTTAAGCGTCTGACAGGCGCTGGCGGTCGGCGTGGCTTCTGCCGAGCCGTGTGCGGTGTCGTGTCTGCAACGGGCGGTGCCGTGCATCAGTGTACCGTCGGGCACCCCTGTGCCGTGCGCTGCCTGGTGCGTGTGCGTGCGTGTGTTGAGCTGCGGCCGCCTCCCGCTCAGCCCCGGGAGGAGCGGCTCGCTTGTCCGCACGTGTGAGCGCCGTGAGATATGCGGGGCGTCACGTTCAGGCTGGTGCTAAATCACGCCGGCCGGCCGTTCGTCATGCTGCCGCCGGTGCCGTAGTTGCCAGTTGTGGGGGGCGGCCGCAGCGCCGGCGGGCCAACTCCCCGTACAAATAATGTGACGTCCGTGTTCGACATGTGCCGTGTATGCAAATCGGCGCAGATGCTGGCGGCGCCGCGGCGCGTCCCTCGCGGCCACTTGCCCCGTGGATGGCCCAACTGCGCCGCTGCGGCCGCCCCGGCCGGCTGTTGAATGGCCGTGGGGCGGGCAGCCGTTTGTTACTGTCGTGCTGCACTTACGGGCAGTTCTGCCGAAGTTGTGGTGGATTCTGAAGAGATGTTTCTGAATGTGGTGTTCTGTTGTGGCTGATGTGCTGGCCTTGGTTCACTGGATGGCGGCGCGGTACTGGGCCGTTTCTGTGGATGAATTCGGTGTTTGATGCAGTGGCACGCGTTATCGTCGGGGATCGGTTTGTCGGCGCGGTTGTTACGTTGCATGCAGTTTCATGTGCTCCAGGACGCATAACTGTTTGTCCGAAAGGGAAAGGGACCCAAACAACTCAGAGGGAAGACAAAAGTTGCAAGCGTTTCCTAAAAAAAACACCTGTATGGATTGTTGTGTGATGCATGCTGGCTCAAAGTTCGTGTCGTAGTTCGCAATGCAAGTGTGATGTAGACTTTTATGCAATACTGTTCTCTAAAATGTCATGCACCTTGGCAATTTTTTTCTCTGTCATTGCCTAATGACACCAAAGCACATCCTAAAATTATTACACACAAACCGCATTAAATGGCGAGTTTCCACTTAACTAATATTTTTACAGCATTTGCCTGTGACTGAACGGAGCCCTGGCCCAGCACGGCAGGCAGCTCCATTCACCAGCAGCTGTCCAGTTCTCGTTTGCACGCGCGGCGCGTGCGTGTGCCGCGCAAGATCGGCGGCAAAAGGGCGGCAGGGTGCGTGTCCGTGATGACCGGTTACCAGACCCTTTAAATACTAAAGCGAGCTGCCCACGCGCGCGCCAGTTGGGCGCCCGCCGTCCGTTACGGGACGGGCGGAGCGGCACGAGCCGCCGGCGGTGGCCGGATAGCTGTCCTCGCAAGGCGGACATGGCGGGCAAACCGCGGACACACGGCGAGGACACACTGCGGACAAGCGGCGGACACAGACACCGGACACTGCGGACAAACCGCGGACACACGGCGAGGACACACTGCGGACAAGCGGCGGACACAGACACCGGACACTGCGGACAAAGCGCGGACACACGGCGAGGACACACTGCGGACAAGCGGCGGACATAGCCACCGGACACTGCGGACAAACCGCGGACACACGGCGAGGACGCACTGCGGACAAGCGGCGGACACAGACACCGGACACTGCGGACAAACCGCGGACACACGGCGAGGACACACTGCGGACAAGCGGCGGACACAGACACCGGACACTGCGGACAAACCGCGGACGCACGGCGAGGACGCACTGCGGACAAGCGGCGGACACAGACACCGGACACTGCGGACAAACCGCGGACGCACGGCGAGGACGCACTGCGGACAAGCGGCGGACACAGACACCGGACACTGCGGACAAACCGCGGACGCACGGCGAGGACACACTGCGGACAAGCGGCGGACACAGCCACCGGACACTGCGGGCAAACCGCGGACACACGGCGAGGACACACTGCGGACAAGCGGCGGACACAGACACCGGACACTGCGGACAAACCGCGGACACACGGCGAGGACACACTGCGGACAAGCGGCGGACACAGCCACCGGACACTGCGGACAAACCGCGGACACACGGCGAGGACGCACTGCGGACAAGCGGCGGACACAGCCACCGGACACTGCGGACAAACCGCGGACACACGGCGAGGACGCACTGCGGACAATCGGCGGACACAACCACCGGACACGCGCGGCGCACATCGGATACAGCCGCGGATGTCACCGGTCACGTAGCTGAGCTCCCGAGCCGCTAACCCCGGGTGCTGGCTGATGCACCCGCAGGTGTCACCGGTCACGTAGCTGAGCTCCCGAACCGCTGGCCCCGGGTGCCGGCTGATGCACCCGCGGGTGGACCGTCTCACAACGAGCTGGACGCGGGTCGCCGCCGCGGCCCCGGCCGGACGCGGTGCCGCCACTCCCACCGACACGCCGCGGTTCTATTTTGACTCGAATTCATTCCACTTCATACTGATTGCACACAGACAATGCGTATCATCCCGCCGCTCGACGACCAATAGAATTTGCAAATGTGTAAAATCGCTGGCTTGGAACAATTCTGTTTCATCCATTAGAGCGCAGTCGCTTTGTGTGCGATTTCGCCGTGCCGTCGCTATCCGGCCTTCGCGTCCCCCGGCCGAGGGGAGGGGAGGGGTGCGAAACGCACGCTCTCGGCGCGGCGAGGGGCGAACCCGTCCGGGTGACACTGCTCTGTTTTCTTTTGTTATGCCAAATGGAATGCGATCTCTCTCCAGGGAGTGCGATTACCCCAAACGAGGCATTGGATACACTGGGGACCAGCCCACAAAAAGGGTGGATATTACACCGCGCGCGTTTTTGCTCATCCTCCCTGAGAGCGGGATGCCAGAAATTGTGAGAAGGATAAGAAGGCTGTACTTTGGCTGATTTATGGCCACTAGCCGGTGTAAAACAGGTGCATATTGGTAGAGAAGAATTCCGGGCATACCGTAGCTGCGAATCTGCTCGTGCGCTTGGCCGGTCATGGAGGCGCTAGAAAAAGCGGAGTGCGTCTTTAACCTACTTCTCTCTGCGCTTTTCTCCCCCTCAGTGGGAAGTGCACGCTAACGTTAACTGTCTGTAATCAATAACCAGCCGATAAGGACAGCGACGGTAACTGTCTCGCAGGGGCTTCGGTTGTAAAACATTTCCGGAGCAGCCGATCACAGTGCCTCCTTCAGCCCGGGCGGGCCAGGGGCTGGCGCTCATTGGCCGGCGAGAGGGGCTCGTCGGCGGGGGACATTTGTCCCGCCGCAGCCGCCCCATGGGACGGGCATTCCTGACAGCTCAGTGCCCGGCGTAATTTGTTACCTTTGCCGCTCCAGATTGACGCGAGACAAGCGCGACACAAGATGGATTCCTGTTCTGGGCCGCGCGCGGGGCCGCCGGCCGCGCGCTCCTCCGCCGCGCCGCGCCGCGACATGTGATACGGCTGGGAAATCGTTAAAACATAACGAGAAAAACCGACCCGTTTGGGGGCCCGTCCGCGCCGGCCGCGCCGCGCCGGCGGCGGCGCCCATGTTTAAAACACGTGCGCTGCACCCGCTGCTCCTTTCATATTCATATCTGGCGTGATCGGGCGCGGCGGGGAGCGTCGACGGCGACGCGGCGTCGCGTCGACGGCGACGCGGCGCCGCCCCCCGCCGGCGGAGCGGCGCCGACACACGCGCCTCTTTATGGGACGTTTATGGGAGTGATTGGACGCGGACCATGGCCGGTGTTGTGCTGTGCCGACCTCACCGGCCGCACCACAGCTTGGCGCTCATGGCGTAAATTCGCCACTGACCAATGCTGCAGCGGCTTCTGTGTGTGCAAACTTACGTCTGCATATAGGAGCTTATTCAGATGGGGAGGGTAGCACTGGGGCACGTTCCCCCTACCAAATATACATAGGTATTAATGTGCAAGTGACAAGCCCTTGAACCCCAATCATCGCCAATAGACAAATGGCCAAATGTTACCACTTAAAGTAAATTAAGTTACGCGCGCCAAAAAAGCAAATTGAAATTATGTGATGGAACTATACGTCATGCAACAAGTATCGTCCGTGTACGCCGCGTTGATATTGTTTTCGTTAGTGAAAAAGATCGAGTTGCTCCGCCGTTTCGAAATCCTTCCTACGCCTCGGCCTACACTAATGGATCCCAGTGTTCTAGTTGGTGTGACATTTTTGCAGTGGTTTTAAGGGTCACATGTTCCTTATGCAGGCTGTTTTAAATGTTTTTAGCATACATTCAAAATACAGCTCTGTGCCAATTTCTGTTGTATCGCAATTAACATGTCAAGTTTGGGTTGTTAAACAACCGCACATTACAGCCTTTAACGCGACTGAAGCCCATGCACGAACCACTTTTCTTTTTGCTTTGGTAAACTGGACATTTCCATGGCATCAGCTGCGTAAGATCATACCTGCTGAATTTCGAATGTGCTATACTTGGACTGAATGCACCGACGCAAAGTGTACAGGATTTATAAGCGCGCCGGGTGATCTTTTGGGCCCGCTTGGTCATCACAGCTGTCTGGTCAATGCGGATCCAATGGTGCTGCTGTCCCACGTGTCCGGATCCGTTGGCGCCGCTGTCCCGCGTGTCCGGAGCCGTCAGCGCCGCTGTTCCCGCGTGGGGGACCCATTGGCACCGCTGTTCCTCGTGCCCGATCCCCGCACCCTGTCGTCTGCGCTGTGATTGCCCCAGCCGCCGCCGCCGCCGCCTCGGCCACAATGCGTGTGTCAACAGCGGCGGCGGCGGCGCCAGGAAGGGGTGCTGTAATCGTCGCAGGACGTTCACGTCGAGTGGCCCGTTTGTCCGACGACCGGCGCTGTTTGTTGACACGCTGTTATTAGCCGGGGCACAGCGGCGCACTGACTGGTTAATCAACGACTGGCGAGCGACCGGCCCTATTTGCATAGGGTCGGAATTATTTTCGAATAGCGCGCGTGTTTGGTCAACTCTGTCGTGTTTTTGCGGCTGCGATTGTTGCCGCAGTCGGGCAGGCGACAAAATCTGCTGCCATGGGCGTGTTTGGTGTAAATATTTGGGTGTTGTTGTGTGCGCCAGGAAAGTCACACGAATGGTGTCTGTGTGTGCCTGTCGTGTTTGATTCCAAGCCATTGGGCGGCGAGGCGGGCGCGGCGCCTGACGACTCTGACCACTGGCGTGTCTGTTTCAGATTCGAGCAGAAAAGCCATACTACAGTCCAAACCCGGAGTTAGATAGTCTAGTAAGTACCCGCGCCGGCCGTCCGAGCTTCCGGCCGCCGCTGGCGCCAGGCGTTCTGGAAACGCGCGCGCCCGGCACCGCGACCCGTCCGTCTAATTTTGGCGGCGCCACGTTTTGAGTTGGGCCCGCGTGGCGCTTGAGGGGCCAGGAGGTAACGAGGCCGGGCGGCGGCGCGCGCTAACGCCGGCCGACAGGTGTATTTTGGGCGGCCAAATCGGCCCCGGCGCCCACTGACAGCCGGCTTGTGCCCTGCCAGATCGGCCGGATTGTCGAGCAGAAAAAATACGCGGCGGGACCGGTGTGGCGGCGCGCGCGCCCGGGCCACCGGCCGCGGCGGGTGGCGCGGGGTGGGGACGGCGAGGGTGACCCTCGGTTGGGGAGGCCGCACGGCCTGCTCCGGCACCCGGCGGCGGGCGTGCTGCTCCAGCAGCGCTGCCGTCCGCTGCCGGCTCCTGAGCCGCCACAGCTGAGTCATCTCCAGCCTCCCCACACTGCGGTCACGACCACGGGCAGGACTGTAAGCCGACACCCCGCTGGCGGAGCGCGGCGGGAATCGTCACACGACTCGGTCGTGGCGTTTCGGAGACCTGTTACCTTTGAGTCATTGGAATTCAAAGTTTCGCTTCCTGCCCAGATGCCAATAAGGAATTTTTGGGGAACTTGGCGACGCGTTAAGCCAGATGTCCGTGTAATAGCACCTTTTTAGCTAGCACTTTCTAGGGCGTCTGATTACATTTGTTTTGTTTCGAAAAGATCATCGCCGGAATCCCGCTGAATCTGTGTCTTCCATTTTCGGTCGTTTTTATGAGTACTATGGCCAGCCCCTGATCCTGCATAATATTAGGCCGATAGACCCGTCCCGAACTTGTTCAAGCGAGGCAGAAAAAGAGTGCTCCGTCATTTTTGGACAGATTGTCGCATACCTGGAGTCTCTGGTTTATCCGTGTCACGTGCGGTTACCTGGTATTTTCATTAAGAAAACGCAGGAATGCCGCCGTGAGCGTCGTTGTGTCGTCACTGTTACCGCAGTTACGACTGCTCAGCGAAGAGCACGTGACAGCTGGCATGTTAGCCGGCCGCTGCAAGGAAGACGCGCTGCGTGGCGGGGTCAGAGCTGGACTTCGTGAGCGCGGTGTGCGAGGCCGGCTCACGCCCACATGCCGCAAACCACCACGACCATGCCCTCGTCAATTGCATGCAATTTGAATCGTTTAGCCCGTTGTTTGAGCCGATGTCATGTACGATCTGTGCCTGTCCCGGGGCGATTGATTTACGGCCTCTCTGCCCGGTCAAGACGACAGGCGGCCGCCGCATATAGGGGAGACGAGCCTGGCAGCGGAGCCTTCCTGCGGGCGTCCCCGCGGACGCTAATGACGCCCACTCTCCGCCCGCAGATGGTGCAAGCGATTCAAGTGTTGCGGTTTCATCTGCTCGAATTAGAAAAGGTGAGGCATCCCGCGTCGTGTCCGTCGTGTGGGCCCCGCCCGGCGCCGCGGCGGCGCCAGAACGGTCCCGTGTGTCTCCCCCCGCTCGCTATCTTCATTCGGTCTTGATTGATTACACGCACCTTCTGCGGATAAGGCCGAACAAAATGAGTTTTTCTCCACTGCGTCTGGCACCAGCCGCACCACCGAACGCACTAATGCCTAATCTACACCCGGGGCTCTCATTTTTATTCATTAGCCTTATCTCCCTCTGATCCCGGGCAGCGGGAATAAATTCCCCCCCATGCACCCCTATTATTCCCCAGTTGCAAGGGAGGTATAAACACGTCCGGTGGCGGGGAGGGTGCCGGGAGCGCTGTTGACACAGGACGCCGCGCCGCCACTGTCGTGTCGCCGGCTTCACACGTGTCCGGCGCGACGAGTGGCCGGCCGAGGGCGGTTCCAGCCAGACAGAGTCGAGGACTCGCTCCCGCCGCCAACCTAAGGCGTGTGCGGCCGCGCCCCGTCGGCCGTGCTGGGCTGTGCTGGCCTGGCCGCCCCGCCAGACGGGCGGCCAGCTGCATGGCTTGACGCCTGTCAGCGCTGCCGTCGGCGCGGACTCTGGTAGCTCCGTCCTCAGCTTGGCTGCTGTCGGCGTCAGCCCGTGGTGTACCTCCGGTCCGTTCCGGTCCATGTCTCACTGCTGTCCGTCCGTACTGGCCCGGCTCGGCGCCTGTCTCTTGAGGGAAAGGGCTGTAACAGCTTGCGGCCTTTGGCCCTTATGTCCATGTTCTTGGCTCGCTGCTGCCATCCCCTCTCCTCCTCCCGCCGCACCCTGACCTTATCCTCGCTTCTGTCCCTACCTCGCTACTGTCCCTGTCCCTGTCCGCCGCCGCCGGCCCCTGCCACTGTCCCTGTCCGCCGCGGCCGGCCTCTGCCTCTGTCCCTGCCTGCCGCCGCCGGCCCCTGCCACTGTCCCTGTCCGCCGCCGGCCCCTGCCACTGTCCCTGTCCGCCGCCGCCGGCCCCTGCCGCTGACCCTGCCCGCCGCCGCCGGCCCCTGCCACTGTCCCTGCCCGCCGCCGCCGGCCCCTGCCGCTGTCCCTGTCCGCCGCTGCCGGCCCCTGTCCCTGCCGCTGTCCCTGCCCGCCGCCGCCGGCCCCTGCCGCTGTCCCTGTCCGCCGCTGCCGGCCCGGCCCGGTCTGTTGCGATGAGTCACGCGCCGGCCGGCCGGCCCGCCGCCGACATAGCCCATTCCGCCGCTCGATGGCCGCTCCACCTTCACGATTCCACTGCATTCGGCGCCCGTTTCCAGGAAAATACATCAAGCGCGGCTTTGTGACGCTCGTCCATGCAAAGGCTGGCAGCGCCGCCGGCGGCGGCCGCGGCGGCGGCGGCGGCGGCGGCCAGTCTGGCGTGGCCGGAGTGCACGCACGCCTCCGGGGGACATCGCCGGCGGGCACGGCCGCGCCGTCCATGATTGTCGCCGTCGCGTCAATTTGGCGGCCGCCGATAAGCGGCGGCGGCGGCTACGACTTTGGCCGCTGGTGGCTGCTGTCGGGTCCGGGACCGGTGAGCCGGCAGGTCTAAGGTGACCTGGGAGCGCCGGGTCGCAGCGGTTGCCGAACTCGAGGTCTGGTGCAATAAGCTGAGCGGGAGGACCCGGCTGGGAGACCAGCTGGGGGTGCCAAGCCAAGGGGACGAGCTGGAGAATAGAGTTGGGCAGCGTGCCTGGTCGGTCCGGCTCTTCACAGCCCCGGGTCAGTCAGCTGGCTGCACGAGTGAGGTGGGCGGGTCGATGGGACCGGCTGCCGGCGGCGGCAGGCCGGCTGGAGCAGCCCAGCACCTGCAGTGCTCACTTCCGGCGCTGGTTGGAGCCCACCCGGCTGGACCACGTCACTTGACGTGATCATGACTGGGCCGGACTCGGGCCAGACCTGGACGGGACTCGGGCTGGGCTATGGCCAGTCCTGGGCGGGACTTGGGCGGGACTGAGGCCGGACTCGGGCCGGACTCGGGGCCTACTCGGGCCGGACTAGGGCCGGCCCGACCAGACCCGGTGGCCCACCTGGCGTCGAGCCGCGGCCGGCGGCGGGACTGGAGTGCCGATGGAGGGCAGCGGCCCCAGATGGCCGCCGCCGCCGCCGCCGCTGCAGGCGCTCGCCGCCCGCTGCACGTGTGGTTCGGCTCAGGGGTGCGGGCGGCCGGCGCGAAGGGCCAAAACAGACACCGCCGCCGCCGACCAGCCATATGGCCGGCGCATCAGCTCGCCGCACAGACATTCCGCAGCGGACCGCTGCCACACTCTGCGCGCTCGCTCCCTCTCCCTCACTCTCTCCTTCCCCCGCTCTCTGCCTCTGGCCGCGCGCGTCTCCCTCCGCCCCTCACCTGCGGCTCAGTCTCCCTCCCACCCTCTCGCCATGGCCCAGCGTCGCGCGAGGCCCGGCCGCCGGCTCCTCCGCCCTCTGCCCGTTACCCGCGGCCGCCGCTGCACGCCGCGCTCTCTCGCAGCCGCCAGTGTGACGCGCACACCTGGCATGCATGCACGGGCCGCGCGTCTGTGTGTGTGTGCCGGACGGACGCTGGCCGCCGGTGACGCGGCGGATTCCGCGCGGCGGTAGCCACTTCTCCGACGGCCGGACATTGTGTGCACCCATTCCGACAATCATCATTGCCATCAGATCAGCGTGTTTGCGCCGCCGGCCGACGGGGCCATCCTCCCCAAACAGGCCTGACTTCGATAAATACGCTCTGTTTGCCGGCGGCCGACGGCCTGTTTGCGTCGGCCCGGCCGCGAACCGGCGCTCTCCCACGGCCCACCTGTCGACGCGGCCGGCGCCGACATGTCGACGCGCCGCTCCGACATGTCGGCGCCCGCGGCGCGCGCGGGCCGGCGCGCGGCCGGCGTCCGCGCCTATCAACGGGGCATGCACCATATGGTCGTAATGGAGAGCCGTAGCCGGCGGCCGGCGGCCGGGTGACGCCCCGCCGGCCGACACCCATTGTCCGTCGAGAGGCGCGGCCGGCGCGCGCCGGGAATGTCGCCGCCGCGCCGCCGGCGTCGACACCGCGCCGGGCGCGCCGCGTGAGTCGGTCTGGCGCCGCGCGCCGGCCGTCGCAGCCGATGACAGCCGCGCCTTCCCCTCCCCCCTCCCCTCCCCGGCGCCCCCTCGGCCGGCGGCGCTGCAAGTGACACGGCCCACGTCACCAGCATGGCCGCCGCCCCCCCCCCCCTCCGCCTCCCCTCGGAGTCTGCACGTGACCACTCTGCGGCGGGAGGTTCGATTCCAGCGGCTGTCACCTGCAGGTGACTTAGTTGCGGGGGTCAGAGGCGCAATTGGCCGCCGGCGTCGGCGGGGAGGCCAGCTGACGGTGCGCCGCCGGCCGGCACGTGCGCCGCTTTCGAGCCGGCGGCGGCGGCGAGAGCGGCGCGGCGCGGCGAGACGCGCTGCTCTCGCCGCGTCGTCTGTCAGCGGCCTACCAATAAACGGCCCCCGGGGGCCGACGGTCGCGCACAAAATGGATAGAGAATGCGGCAAAATTACAGGGAAACAATGCAATAAAGATAGCGGAATGCGGACCATTCTCAATATTGACGCAGGGCGGGCGTCGGCGCGCGATATTGGCCCGCGCGCCGCGACACTGCGCGGCGGAGCGCGGCGGGCCTGAGGATGGACCGCGAGGGGGGGGGGCTGGTGCAGAGGGGGAGCTCGTGTGGCGCCGACCGTTTTATTGCCCGTGCTAGCACCGGGCCGGCTGGCCTTGAGAATGGTCGCGCTTGGCATTGCATCGTTTACAGGATGGGAAGCGTGGGGCTGCGCGTGGGACCGTGGCCCGGGGGCGGGACGTGGTCAGGGGCGGCGGTCGGGGGCGGGCGCCGGGGACCGCGGCCCGCGCCGACAGCACGTGCAGACCGGAGCGCGCGAGTGAGGCGCCACGGCCGGCCGCCGAGATGTGCCGTGTCCGCTTACGTGTTGCGTGCCACACCGGAGGTAATGGCGCGTCGCGATGAGCTCGGCCGGCCTGAAGAATTCATTAATTGTTGCCGCTGCGATTTGGGAAATTTATGGCGCGGCGCGGGATTGCTGCAGTGCTGGCGGCCGACCGGCTGTATGAGCGGGGAGGGCGGTGGGGTCGCAGTCCTTGTTGTGGGTCGCACGAGCGGGGCAGGTGGCCATCGGTCAGGTCCCTCCGCCGACCCTGACTCCGCGCGGGGCAACGCGGGACACGACCTGCTCCATACCCACTCTCGCGGGGAGAGAGGCACCAGGGACAGTCTCCGGTCTTGGACGGCGGCCTGTCGGTCGGAGGGACACACTCTGGGCCCTGCGCGAGCCTTTGTGACCGATCTCAGCCATCCTGGACTGCAGCAGCTGGAGGCAGAGCTGTCGGCGCGGACCCGCACGGCCGTCGGCTGGACCGAGCGTTATTCAATTTTATGGGGTCGTAACGCTCGGAGGTTGCCACTCGTGCAATCCTGCACCGCTGACCAGCCTTTGTTGTAGACAGGATCGGGAATGTAATGCGCGCCCGTTTCCGACTCCCATGTTCGGCCCAGGGCGCCTCGTCCTCCGCCCACTCTGCCCGCTCTCCCCCTGGTCCTCCGCCCGCTCCGCCCGCTCTCCCCCGGTCCTTCGCTTGCTCTGTCCGCTCCCCCTAGTTTTCCGCCCGCTCTGCCCGCTCTCCCCCTGGCCCTCCGCCCGCTCTGTCCCCTCTCCCCTGGTCCTTCGACCACTCTGCCCGCTCTGCCCCTCGTCCTCCACCCGCTCTGCCCATTCTCCCTGATCGCTCTGCTCAGCTCCCATTCAGTTCCCGTGGATTTGTTCTCCAACGATGCGCCCCTGCTGTGCATCGGATGTGCCTTGTTTTTTATCCTTCTGGACGTGAGTTGCATCAACCTGTAAAATTACCTCCTCTCCTACCCTCTCTCCGTTCCGCCTCCCTTCTCTCTTCCTTCTGTCTCTTGTCCCTCTTTCCTCGGCTGCTCTCCGCGGAATCCGACATATCTCCAGCTCCCCCGCCACTCTGCCCTCTCCGCGCTCTCTCCGACCAGCGCCGGACGCGACTGGGATTGAGTCACGCAATCCTGATGGTATTTATCGGCCGGCGCAGCGGGCGCCGCGATTTCTTAAACATTAAAACGGCGATTTGAATGACAGCGTCGTTGCGGCGGCCAGTTCTCGCCGGCGCCGAAGGTCGGCGTTTTTGTTGTTTCATTCCGCGTCCTCCCACACGGATTCCGGTGATATTTCACTGGCGGGTCGGCCGGCGAGTGGTGCCGTTTTTGTGGCGCCGCAAGAATGTGTCCCAATCAGCGCAAACTGCAGCGGGCTGGCGCCGGCCGGCAGCTGCGCCAGCTGCGCCACCTGACGCCTCGGCTGGCGCACTGCGCGGGGACCGGCGCTCCTCCAGAGGCCGGTCGGAGCCAGCGAGCAGGCGAAGCGCCCGAGCCTTCCGTTGGCCAACGGGGCAGAGGTCGCCCCTCTCCATCCGCTGTCGGGCAGCGGCGCCCGGGGTCGGGCGTCCTTGCGCCGGCACGTGGCCGCGCAGGAACGCGAGGGCAGGGGAAGCAAGTCCTGCTGCGGTCGGAGGCGCAGCTTGTGGACGACGGCCGGCTGTGTTCGACTCTCGTTCTGTGTGGCGCAGCTGACCGCCGTGTCCGGCTTGGGCTGGGGGCAGGCGCCGACTCCGCCCCGCCTGCGCCGCCCCGCCGGGCGCGACGGGCCTTCAGCGTGAGCGTGGACCGGGCTGCCTTCGACACCGGTCCGCGTTCGATGGCGCCTAGTTCCCAGTCCGTGACGCTCGGACCCGGCACTGTCCCGGGCATGATTGTTACGTGCATGGCGCGGACGCCGCTCATTAAGTGGAAAACAATGGCTGACTGAGCACCGCGGTAAAACTCATTTAATTGATCTTTCCCCTGTTTTCTTTTCCTTTCAGTGTTTGTTGCAAGACCGCTGCCAATGTTTATGCTCAGTCATAACAACATTAGTGGGTGTTATTGCACATAGACGGCTCGTTTTCGGGAGTTTGGCGGAAAAACAGTGGGCTGGGCCCCCTGCTGGATGGTGTGTTGGGGGGGGGGAGAGGGATGGGTGTAGATCGGGGGGGGGGGGCGGTGACACGACCCAATTGGGCTTGGCGCCAGCCAGCCGGCAGCAGCGGCAGCCGTTGCTAGGAAAGCAGCCGCCATCCCCCCGGCCGCCCCGCCTTGAATGGTCATGCCGGGGGCGATGTTTCGTCCTAATACGTGCAGACCCAGAAAGAATGTCACTGGTTTAGCATGCCGGTCGCGGTAAAAGTGTATTGTCACCGACCGCAGGTTGCTAGTAATACGTACTCCGTGAAACGAGTATTTAACATTCTTTGTAACAAAAAGCTCCGATTTTATCCAGGATGGCTTTTTAAGAAGCTTATGCATCTGAGCCGTAACCGGTCCCCCAAATCCGTTGTTAGGGTTGTACCGAATTTCTCAACACGTGTCCCTCGGAGGGGGCAGGGGGAGGGGGATAAGCCCTCGGCCACCCGGCTAAAATGTTTCAAGAGCAAACAAAGAGTTCTAAAGCTTTTACTGCGGCAGTTCAACTGCCACTGCGTGTTCCAGGCATCTGCCGTTCCCCCAACGGAGGTGTGGATGTGGACTCAAAGCAAACGCACGTCAGTTGACAGTTCGTGCGCGCCCTAGTTAGTTATGCTCAGAGTGTCAGTTAAACGTACCTAGTTACGATCTTGATTCTGTCATCCACCGCATCACCTGGTGTAGGACGGCATCTGCTAGCTCTCGTTCTGTCCGTTAGCATGCACATGCTCACATCGGGCTTGGAAATTTCCAAAGCAAGCTTGTGCAAGTTATTGAAACATCCACCGCGAGCCTGAGCCGACCTGTACTGATACGAGATCAGCCACCCCGTCACAAGTCACGGGTCTGTTCACTGATACCACATCGTGGAACCGGCAGTAGCTGCCTTAGAGGCGCTGCGTCCAGGCGGTGCCGCCTATCTGCCTCCGCGGCTGCCCACGGTCGCGCCGCGTACCGCCGTCGCCGCCCGCGCCGCCCTCACCTGACGACCTTCCTCCGTTGCAGGTTCACGAGTTGTGCGACAACTTCTGCCACCGCTACATCAGCTGTTTGAAGGGCAAAATGCCGATAGACTTAGTGATCGACGAGCGGGACAGTGGTGCGGCCAAGACGAGTGACCACGGCCACGGCGACACTAACAACAACAGTGGCAACTCGCGCGCGTCGGCCGAGGCCAGCCAGGATGGCACCAGCACGCCAGACATCGTGAGTACCGCGCTCTCTCTCGCTCTCTCATTCTCCTCCCCTCTCTCTCTCTCTCTCTCTCTCTCTTTCTTTCTTTCTTTCTTCTCTGTCGGGCTCTCTGTCTCCACTCTTTTCTCCCCTTCTCGGGGCCAGCGGGACCCTGAGCCAGCGGGACCCTGAGCCAGCGGGACCCTGAGCCAGCGGGACGGGGGTCCTGGCGCGGGACCGGGCGTGGGAGGCTGTTTGCCGGCTTGAAGTGCGCCGGCGGCGGCTGCATGCGGCCGTCTGGCTCGTCCGCGGACTCAGTTTATAATTTGGCTTGATATTAATTTGTGCGCCTCCTTTGGGAGCGGTTACAGATGTAGTCCGCAACGCCGTTGACCTTAATGTCATCTTAAGACCTTGAACGTAATGATCATTTGTGTTGCAAATAAAAAACAGACGCTGCCACGCTGTCAAAATATATTTTGACCGTACATCAGCATGCGCGGGAACGCAGCCTTCTGTCGGATATACTCCCAGCTCCCTGGCGTCCGGCCGGCAACCCACCATACCATTTGGGATGTTTGTCTCCGCCATCTCCGCCTCCGGTGGATCCGGGGCCTGATAGCGTTGGTCGAGCCACCTTCGGGAGGAGACGGCGGGCGCCGGCCGCGGCCGCCGCCGGCCCCGCCGCGCCGGCCTGGCGGGCTGTCAGCGCGCGGCGGCGACGAGACGGGGGCCTGCCCGCACCAGTCCCACTCCAGGGTACTAGAGCGGCTCGCCGGCCGTTTGTGTTTGCACTAGCTCGCTTGACATGTTTATGACGGCCAGGATAAATCATCGCGCGGGTAGCCGGCCTGAACTTTGACTAACTCGGTCCCACTGTAAACACGCCGATAGGAATTTGTCTCCGCCGTCCAGGCACAATATCGACGGTCGCCCGACTTATCGCCGCTTCGGACGCGCTGGATTAGGGCTGCCGGCCGGCGCAGCGACTCGGGGATAAAGCGGCGCCATTAGCGGGCGCCGGACCGGCCGTTTTTGCCATGCGCTGGGCGACGCCTCGTGGCTCGGAGGCCTCGCGTCTGGCGGGCGCGCGCCGCGTGTTTACGGGCCCGGCCGGCGGACGTCGCGCCGCATCGCGCTGCGTCGCGCCCGCTCCCAGGCCAAAGAATGGGTTTGACCGACCGCTCGGCCTATCCATAAATCTGGCGCCGAAGGTCGATCGGTCGCCACAGGTTTATTATGATTTCGACCATCTGAGCGTTCGAATTTCCGAGCTATCTCGGTCCGGATCGTTTATTTGGGAATTATTCCCGTGCCTCGGCCGCGTCCGCCCCGGCCTGATAAAATACAACGTGACCCCACTGACAAGGAGGCGGCCGGTGTGGCCGGCCGGCCGCCGTCGCCTATCGGGCCATCTCCGCCACGGCGCCGGCCGCACGGCCGCTGCCCGGCGCGCGCCGCGCGCTCGGCCGGCCGCTCCCCGGCGTCACTGGAGCGTCACGCGCTCACGGACGGCCGCCGGGCCGGCCGGGCCGCACCGGGTGCGGTGGCCGGTACTGTGGGCGCAGGCCGACCGGCCGGTCTGGTCCGCCGACATCATCGGCCCGACGTCCGGCCCGACGCTGCACCAACCTTGTGCGTTGGTGCGCTGGTGCGTCCCCGGCCGCCGCCACGCCGCTACCGCTATCGCCTGCGAGCATCGGCCGCGCGGCCGCGCACACTCGGCGTCTTTTGTCGCAGCTGTCAATTCCTCACCGAGTTGCAATTAGCAAGGTTAGCGGCTTTTTTGCGCGGCGCGACAGGGAAAAGAGTCATGCCCTTCAAACGCGACCGGTTTACCTGAAACTACACGGCGATGCGGCGCGATAGGGGCGGGCCGTGACGGGGTGGCCGGCGCGGCGCCTGTGATGCCGCCGGACGCGCCCCGCGGCGCCCGAGGTCACCGGCGATGCGATCGGCGTGCCGGCGGCGCGACCCGCGACGCCCCGCCGCGCCCGGCGCCGCTCCCACGTCCGAACGCCCAGCGGGGCGCCGCCGCCCGCCAGCGCGACCGGCGCTGGCGGCCGAGGTGGGGCGGGCGTCGGGACAGGTGGGGCGGGGGCAGCGGCGCGCTCGGCCCGCAGCACGGGACCAGCTGGGGGCCGCAGGGACTCGCTGAGACCTCCGTGGTTGACTGACGACGCGGCTGGTGGCTGGCGGGTGGCGCTGAGCGACGCCCTGGCCGAGCTACACCAGTTTCAGAGGGCATTGCACCCGATCACCCTTAGCTATCAGTGTGTCCCGCCCGCTGAGCGACTCCAGTCGTACTAGTGCGGCCCGACCTCGGTCGACGCTGGGCTCGCCCCTGGACCGCTGGCCACTCCGGGCGCGGGACTCGGGGAGGTCTGGAGCCCACGCGGGCTTCGGACCGCCCGGGCCGGGACGGCCGGCGGCGGCGTCTCCCGCTAGGTGGGCCCGAGCTGGGGCCGGAACGGGCCGACGACAGCGTCTCCCGCTAGAGGGGCCCGAGCTGGGGCTAGGACGGGCCAACGGCGACGTCTTTCGCCAAGTGGGCCCGAGCGGAGGCCGGGACAACTGCACGCGTCGCGCCGCGTCGGTCACTTGCATATACAGAGGAGGGGTGGCGCCGTAGACTTTGGCCTGCCTAACCGGGCCGGTCGCGCCTCTGCTGGGGTGGCCCCACCGCCGTTGTCTGTCTGCCTGTGGTGTGCGTCGGTTCTGCTGTTCCAGGTTTGCGCAGAGTCCTCGATTATCAGTCGCGCTCGAATTGAGCGCCCGCCTCAGTGCGGCAGAATCGAGAAGACGTGCGCGCAGCCTGGCTCGGCAGACGCAAGTGGCGCAGTGTAGAGACGCATGGCGCAGTGTAGAGTGGCGCAGCTGTGTGTGGCGCTGTCCATCTAACGCGCGGTTGTCTCCGCTGTTGCAGATGCGGACGTAATCGAATTCACGTCTCGTGCGTCTACAACGGGGAGACAACAAGCGCTGGATAGACTGGAAGTCGGCGCCTCTACACTGCGCCTGCGTCGGCCGAGCCGGGCGCACAGACAGACAAACCGAGCGGGCGCGAGCGCGGGCGCGGGCGGGGCAGGCGCGGCGCGCGGGGCGACCACCCCTCCGTTTATGCAGTAGGGCGCCGCCGGGGCGCCGGGGCGAGCGGACGCGCGCGCGGGCGGGCGTGAGCCGAGAGGCAGCGGCTGGCCCGTAAACAGAGCGACGCGACCGGCGCCGGCGCCATGGGCGGTGACGCCGCGCCGTCGCCGCCGCCGCCACTGCCGCCGCCGCCGCCGCCGCCGCCGTCGTCGTCGCTGCCGCCGCCGCCAACGCCGTTGCCGTTTTCCCTCTTCTGCGTGGCTGTAACGGACGACGGAGCGTCGGCTCGCCGCCAATGTGACCTTGACCTCCGGTCACGGAGAGGCGCGCGCGCAGGGCGAATCCTGTTGGGCTTAGCCAGTACATTCAGGGACTGGGAGTACGTTTATGTTGATCTGTTGGGCCGGCGCCGGTCGCGGCGCTCGGCCTGGCCCCATGCGCTGGCGAGCGCACGCGTCGACTGTGAAGAATACTCGTTGCATTTGTACAAACTATGGATATACGTAATTTCTCGTATCCGCCGGGCGTCCGGCCGGGTGCTTTATTTCGCAATGAAGTTGTCAGTCTGGCAGTATTACATGATGATATTTCATCTTCATGATTTCCGTACTGTAGGGTATTAGTAGGGAGCTTTACGACTCTTGTAGGAAGTGCTATTTCTTGGATGAAACACTGTGATTCGATTAGTTTTATTTGATGACTTTAATGGCGTTGTTTCGTGGCTCGATTGAGTTCCATGCTGCGCAGTGTCTGAAATACGTAACCGTTTGTGATGGTGTATTATTGTTAATTATGTGCCAAAATAATTGGTTTACCGTTTGTATACGATTTCAACCTAGGACATCGATGATATAAACAAGATCATAACACTACACCGTGTCTTGGTCTGCGGAAGAAGCGACAGATTTACGAGGGTCTGAGGCCGCCCAAATGCGCTTCTCTGTTTTCTTTGAATGATTTACGACAATTAAAAGTGGAAATAACGGGTCCTAAGTGTCCCGCGGCAGGCGTTCTCACTCTATCATTCACATCTGCTGTGCGACGGGGATCCGCCGCGACGCTGCCAAATTCGGCGCGCGCGCGGCGACAGCGGCGCACCACGCCAAAATAAAGCCGAGACAAATGCGGCCAAGCCGTGACGAGGAGTGGCGCACATCTGGTCGGCCCTCGCCGGCGGCTTGCTCCGCCTGGCCTCGATCGGCGGCGAGTTTTTGTCGCGCGTGGACTCGCACCAGGCGTCTTTTTTCAGCCGTCACACTTGCTCCTCTTTTGTTTATTTGTCCACCACTCGCATGGTTTATTTGTCATATCTGACCATAATGCGTCGCATCCATTAGAGACGTAAACAGTCGGGAGACGAGGAGACACGGGGGAGAACACCGGCGCCTTCGCTCACCCCTATCTGACGGAGCTAAATCCATTGATTAATTCAGCACCACGGTTTTGGCGTGTATCGGGAGAGCTGAACGTGTGGTAATGGCGCCGGTCGTGTCCGATTAGGATTCCGACCTTGTAAACCGGGCTGGCCACGTGGCGTGGTCTGTTTGGAAAGGGGAGGGCTTTAGAAGCCAGCTGAAGTCAGCGCCCAGTACCTTTCCCGTCTCGGTACACCCAGCGCTGACCAAAACTCAGCACTGATGATATCAGTACTGTACCCAGCCCCAGACACCATCTCAGCGCTGGTGACTCCAGTGGTGCACCCAGCCTCAGACACCAGTTCATCACTGATGGCTCCAGCACTGCACCCAGTCCCAGACACGCTGGCACACCGCTAGCCGCCCGTAGCGCACGCCGCTCAGCTGCGCCCAGCACGGCCCCCAGCCGTGCGGCCCAGCAGTGGCGCCGTTTGGCGACAGGGCGGGCGGCTGGGCTGGGCGGGCGGCGCGGACCACACAGGCGCGCGCGCCGGCCTGATGGTATCGGGACGGCGCGCGGTGCTGAGCGCGCCGCGCCAGCCGCCGCCCGCACTGCCATATGCCCCTAATGACCGGAGCGGCGGCCGCTGCGCGATCTTAACGCCGGCTGACTGCCTCGGCCCGGCTATTCAAGGCCCATCAGATAAGGCTGGCCGGCGCGGCGGCGGCCCGCGCCCAGCGTCCCCCCTCCGCCCCGCCCTCCTCCTGCCGTCGGGCCCGATGCGCCCCTGGCCTGACACCAGTGGCTAACGCTCGTCTCTTTCCCCCAAGGCGGCCGGGAAGTGGATGCTGGTAGGAGGCGCGCCCCGCCGCTCTGTCGGATCTCTGTGTCGCATGAGCTGTCGCTGGGTCGGAGCTCTGTGTCGGTCTCTGTGCCGCTCCGTTGCGTCTCTGTGCCGCATGAGCTGTCGCGGGTCCGTTGCCGCCGCCCAGTTGTTTTTGCATGTGGCGTCCGGCGGCCCGGTGCCGGACGCCGTGTCGTGTCCGCTCGTGCATCCCTGGTCGGTGTCGTGTCCGCTCGTGCATCCCTGGTCGGCGTCGTGTCCGCTCGTGCATCCCTGGTCGGTGTCGTGTCCGCTCGTGCATCCTTGGTCGGTGTCGTGTCCGCTCGCGCATCCTTGGTCGGTGCCATGTCCGCTCGTGCATCCCTAGTCGGCGCCATGTCCACTCGTGCATCCCTGGTCGGCGTCGTGCCGCTCGTGCATCCCTGGTCGGCGTCGTGCCGCTCGTGCATCCCTGTTCGGTGTCGTGTCCGCTCGTGCATCCCTGGTCAGTGTCGTATCCGCTCGTGTATCCCTGGTCACCGCTCGTGCATCCCTGGTAGGTATCGCGTCCGTTCGTGCACTCCTGGTCAGTGTGGTGTCCACTTGTGCATCCCTGGCAGGTATCATGTTCGCTTGTGTATCCCTAGTCAATATGGTGTCCGCTTGTGCATCCCTGGTAGGTATCATGTCCGCTCGTGCATCCCTGGTCAGTATGGTATCCGCACGTGCACCGTTGGCTGGTGTCGTGCTGTGAGTGGATCCGTACTCGGCGTCATTTCCGCGCGTGCATTCCTCGACGCCGCATTCGATCATGCATCCCTGGGTGGTGTCTCCTCCGTTCCTGCATGCTTCGCTGTGATGTCCTTGCCGCATCCCCGGCATCATGTCCCTCCACGCATCCTTCAGCACCAGTCCGCTCGCGCATTCCCACTCGACGCGTCCCCCGGCTCCCTCCCACCGCGTGCACTCGGCTGAGCCTCGCGCCGGCAGCCGGCCGCTCGCGGGCTCGGCCCCGTCGGCCGGGGCGGGGTCGTGACCCCACGAGCCGAGCCGCACCCTACGTCATCGGCCGGCGGCGGCCGTCGTCGTCTCAGCTAAGCTCTGGAGGCGGCCGGCGCGCAGCCGCTCGATCAATACAAATGCGCCGGGTTTCTTCTCGGGCGCCGTTGCCTTGCGCTCTCAGCCAATAGCAGGACAGCGGCCAGGCGGCGACACGTCCCATTGGCTGCAGTAACACAATACCTTTTTGGTCGGGAAATTGCAATTGGTGAAACAATAAATTAAAATCAAACCATGATAAATCTTGTCTTTGTGACATTCGGAAAGATTATAACGAAAAGTCTCTCTCGTTCGGCGAGATATGATCTTGCTACCATTTCGTCTCCGTTTTTAAATCATTTCCGCAGCTTGGTCCCATTCCAGTTCACCGGGGTTCGCAAAGGCGGCGTCCCAAGACGCTCTTTATTCATCGCCAATCGATGAGGATGCCGCTTCCGAAGCACGTATAAATCCCCACCGAATCCACTCTCACCGCTGCCAGATGTATGACGGTCCGTCAAAATTGCCCCGTCAGTAGCGCATCACCGCGGCCAAGACGCCACGGCGCGCGTATTTAATAGCACTGTGCTCCATGTTCAGCTGGCCTCACCGCCCACTGATTTACACGGAAATTTGGAAAAATAACAAACGTACGGCAGTGATTCGCCGGGCGTCAATCTTCGCCGCCGCGTAAATCCGTCCGCGCGGATAGCTCATCACCGGCTCCGTCCGTCTGCAGGCGGGTGGGGGGGGGGGGGGGGGGAGCACTTGGCGGCGTGGCCGCACCTGAGGGACGGGCTCCGCCTGTTTACCGCCGCTCCCTCCTTTCTGCTCGCCGCCAGAAATAGGCGCCGTCTCGTGTTCTTCTGCCCCGAGATTTGCGTTAATTAGGTGCGGCTGAGGGCAGCGGGGCGGCGGCCAAGTTTGCCGAGGCGCGAGCGGCGCAGACGCTGCGAATCCGGCGCACCAGCCGAGCGCGCCACCCACCCATTCATACCAACCGGCCGCGGCTGCCACCAAATGAATCAAACGCTGGCAACAACGCCACTCCGGCGGTATGGCGCCCAACGCCTGTTGCTGCCATCAAAGCTGAACGTTTTGCAAGTTGGGTTGTCCTGTGCACGAGGTGCGCTGTGTCAGGGGAGGGGGGGGGGGAACTGGGGACCAGCTGGCGCCGGCGGCGAGACACCGGGCTCCTGCTCAACGTTCGCCGCTTCACCCGAACTGCCGCAAACTTGGCCGCCGTTCTATTAGGGAGCCGCCCATAAAAATGATTTAGTGGAGCCGAGAGATTGGCCTCATGCCGCTGCGTCGATGTACGGCCGGAGCCAGCGATGGCCCCTAGATTTAATTTTCTCCGAGCTGCAAAGCTATAGGACGCGCTGCAACTTTCCCGGCTGGAAATTTCGCCAGGGCAGCTGCGGCTGTGGTCGCGTGGCGCCGCTGGCTCGGCCGTGGACCGTCGGGCCGGCGGGGAGGCGCCTGCACGATGGTCTTGCATCCCCGCACGCGAATTGCCGCCGCCGCTGCCGGCCAACAGGTGTTGTGTATTTTGGAAGGCCCGCGGCGGTTTGCTGGCGCGTTTCTGCGGGCGGGGGCGAACGCGGCGCGCCTTGCGGCCGGCGGCAGACGCGGCGCGACGTGCGGTCAGAGGCAGAAGCGACGCGCCACGCGCCGCAACGGCCGCGAACTGCGCCGGCCGCCGCCGCCGCCGCCACCGATGTGCCAAACACAACGCTGGCATGTGCCAGTTATTCGCCAGCGAACTCGCCAAGTAGTATTAGATAAATACGGGT